GGGAAGTACTCTTTTCCAACTCTTGGATCTGAAACTCCTCCTTTATTCCCCCTAAATGAGATGGGTCTTCTCCAGCAGTATTGGAGATTTGTGCTTAAAGTTTAGTATGTTTTCATATGCTTGTGATGCTTTCTTATGCTGTTTGACTAATCTCTTTTTTTGTATTGCTCATCTGCCTCAACTGATTTGTGGGTGTTCTTTCCTATTTTCAAGATTCTAATATTTTGTCAGATGTGCGCCTTCTCTTATAATTTGCATTTGGAATCTTTTACAGTATGTTTTAAATTTTAATGTAGTCAAATTTACCAATTTCAGTTCCCTTTCCTCCCTGATTTTTGTCTTGGCCAACATTTTTTTATTAGTATTTATTTACTAAAAATCTATTTATGTGGTCGTTACGCATAATTTACATCTTTTCCTAATTTTTAAAGATCTGACAGTTCTGAATGCTTTTCACACTAAAGAAGGGAAATATGCTTAATTTTTAAAGATTTGAAACATTGAGAAAAAGAGGGAGAGATTGAAAGCTCCCACCCGCTGGTTCCCTCACCAAATGTCCACAATGGCCACACAGTGGGGCCAACACTGAGGCTGGAAACTGAACTCCGGTCTTCCACATCGGTGGTGGGAACCCATCCACGGCAGCCAGCTTTGCTGCCTTTTAGTATCTGTAGCTGCAGGTTCAGAAACATGAACCAGGAATGAGTCTGGGGAGTCTGATGTGAGGCACCAATGCCTTAATGACTTGGGTAACTTCTTATTGCAGGAAATACTTTTAAGGTCACATTTTATGCATCTGACAGTCTTATCTAAGGGTACTTGTCTGAATTCAGTTAAAAAAAATGAAGTAGAATCAAATGACAAAGCTCTTGCCTGATAAGTTCATGTAAAGAAGAATGTATATCTCAAAGCAATGGGAAAGAAACATCTGTTTTGCCCATGCCATTTAATTCTTGCAATTTTAGAAAGCAAGGATTGCTATTCTCTATTTAAAGATGACTGGAGTAATACCCAAAGAGAACAAATGACTTGGCAACAGAATTTAGCTTGCTTGTTTCAAGCTAATAGCTGAACCTAGGGTCCTTTGTTGCCAAGTTATAGTTCTTGATCATCCAGTGCATGCTGTAAATATCTGTCACTAAAAAAAAGTATGGAAAAGCATTGTGTAGATAATAATAATATATATTTATATGCATATATCTTCCAAAGTGGCGGCATTTGTGGAAGTGCCTAGCAAAGTGTTGGGCATAAAGCTATTATCATTATTATTGTTGTTGTTGTTGCTATTTTGGGCTAAAGGACTTTCATAAAATTTTTACACTCATTTAATAATTCTTATCTTGCTTTCAAGCATGATTGATATCTATAGCAATGACATTCTGCTTAGGGATTTTTTTTTTCTAATGATAGGCTTAGGTTTTTGAGAAATTTGATTGAGAGGCACTGGGGGTACTAAAATAAGGTGTAGGGAAATAACATTCTTGAGATGTTGACACTCCTCACAAAAATCTCTAAATACTTTCAGTGCCCATCTGACAATTTGAGTTTCAACTATGTGAGTCCTCTAAGAAAAAGGCAGCTGCGAGAACAGTGTTAAAATAGTTAGGATAGAGACATTTTATAACTGTAAATTAGCTTACTGACAATCTCAAATAGCATTCAGGAAAATTGAAGTTGACATTCACAAGTGCATTAAAAATGTGTGTGACATGGTGTGGTCTGAATATAAGTGTGTATCTAAAATTCATGTCGAAATATTAACCCTCCCAATGTGATTGCATTAAAGGATGGAGGCGGGGTCTACAAAGTGACTGAGTCATGAGAATAGAGTTTCTATGAATGGGATTTGTGAGTTTAGAAAAGATCAAGATGCTTCACCCCTTCCACCATGATGAGGATGTGTGTAGAATCCACTGCCAATGATTCGGAAATCTGTCCCTCATCAGATATTGAGCTGCTTTGATCTTGGACTTACCAGCTTCTGGAGTTGTCTGAAATTTGTGTTATTTGTAAGCAGTCTGAATGCCACCAAGTAGTGTGGTAGGTTGGATTACTATCCTACATGATTTTAAAAACAGAGTTTCTTCATAAAAAATCAGAGGCCATTTGAAATTGTATCTGGTGCAGCGAAGACCAATTCTGCTAGAAGGTTGTGTTTCTGTAAACTACTCAACCTTGATGATGTGGATGAGTGAGAAAAATTGGACAGAAAAAGCACTTAATGAAAACACATGCTGGCAGCTATAGGCAGAAGACACTGGGCCAGCTCTCCCAAGCTTGTGGCCTGACCTAATTCACCATGAGTGGAAATGCGTGAGACTTGGATAGCCAAGAATAAAAGCGAAGTAGTGAGAGGCAGCACATGGTTCTTAGAAATTTTGAAATGGTTTTTGAAGTTCATGGAAAATTTAAAAAATACACTTTTCCCCTGTATTTTGGGTTCATAGACCTTTCATTTCTTCTTTTCTGTAGGTCATTGATGAACCAAAGAGAGATTCAAGGAAGCAAAAAGGGAATAGGATATAGTTCATTTTTGTACTGTTCTATAGTGTTCTGTATGAACACAGTGTTCAAACAGATTGCAAGACCTGGCTAAGAGCATCTGATGTTGTCCCTTTCAATACGGTTTTTGATACATCTCTTGGGCATTGATGGTCTTATTTTTATTGTCATCTCTCCAATGCCACCTGGGTCATGCAATAGGATCAATTTCTACAAGAAGTTTTTGATTTTCTTTTTCATCACTTTAGTGAAGCAATTGGTCATTCTGTAGCATGTTATTTGACTTCATGTTGATGTAAATTCTTTGGTTCCCTCACCCATTGTGGATTGCTTTCTGGCTCTATATTTAAGGGGATGTGTAATAGAATTGTAGCGCAGACTGATATGTCCAGATGTGGAGACAAAGTACAGTGTACCTCTCTGCATTCAGATGAAAGATGGACTCCCAGTGAAACAATTGACTATATCCTGACAGTAGGATGCTGGACTCTTGGACATTGTCCATGCCTACAATGTTGGGGAACATTTTAATAGCAGCATGATGAACTAATGACTGTTCATGAAGAACTACTCACTGTAATACTAGCAGGAAAATACTAATGAAGGGAAGAGAAAATCCTAGAGCATATGGAACGGTATCATAAAATAATAACAAAAATAAAAAATAAAGTAGTATAAAAATGTAGACTGCAGGATCCCAATTCACCTCCTCAAGATTGGTCAGAGAGGCTGGCACTGCATTAACAGATATCTGAATTGAATGCTACTGCAAGAAATAGCTAAGCCTGGACTTGAGACAACATAAGAACCCCGTTTCTTCATTCCTCTCCTGTATCTCCATGAAAGCTGAGGGCCCATCCCTTTCAGTAAGCAAGAGCAATAATGTGCATGCGTGTACACGCGTGTACACACACACTGCTGTGCCATTCAGAGGCATGCTTGAATCTATGGGGATTCTATTTCGAGGAGAACAAAAAAGCCCCTTTGTTCTGAATATTTTCAGCTCCAAATGCAGATGTCTAATAGCAATTTCACATGGAAAACCAAGTGATTCTTTACTTAGGACTACAGCAGGAACAAGAGCAGTAGCAGTAACAATAACAACAGAAGCAGAAAACAGGAAATTTTATTCTATATCACATTTATTATGGAATGCGAGCTGCAAAAAAAAATCATATTCCAAGTTTTTTTTTTCTTAAAGTAAAACTCAGTCATCAGTTAAACTTTAACATTTAAAACGCTCATTCAAAATTCAAATCCAAAATGAACGTGGAAGTCTATGTAATTCCAAAATCTTTATCCTATATTATAGCATTTTATCTATTTGCTAAGAAATGGAGTTGTATTGATCAATATCTGGAAAACGGGAACTTTCTTAAATAAACAGTTTGTGATCTTACACATGAACATAAAAAGACATCACTTTTATTCTAGTATTGATGCATTTATGAATGGACTTTCCATTGGGAATACTACTGCTTCAGTGTTTTAATATCACACACTGTAATTATGTTATTTACATACAAATGACTTCATATTGACAGTTGCTAATGTTTTAGGTATCACTTCATTTAAATTGACACACATCTTCCAAGATTATTACATAAATTTGTCTTCTAAGCAACAATGTTGAATAACATCAAGGTTTGGATATGTTGCTCTTATAAATAGTACGTGTTTAGCAAGTTAAAAAAACCACCAACAACTGTAGTTGTAGCATTTTTATAATTGGTTATGATTTTTATTTAAGATACAAAACCATTATATTAATTCTCTAAAACATGAATACATATTTGAATATTTTTCTTAAGTTTCCACTGAGAAGTGGTCTTACTAGTAGCTTGCTAGTGGAATTGTCTCTTGAAAGGGTGATTTTTGTATTTCCATTCCTCTCATCAACCCAATATCTAGCCAACATGATTTTTTGGTATCAAAGGACTAGGGTCAACTTACTTTAGGTTTTTAGGAACCAGATCACATTTTTGATCCCTAATGAAGCCTTTCTTTTGAGAACTGGTAGACATTTATAACATCAATTCATCGACTGGAATTGTGGTAAAATGGCAAGACTTGTTCAATGTGGACATTTGCTGACAATTATCCTAAGTGAGTCTCGTCTACACGCATCATTGTCAGCTCTCCCACTGATTTCTTATCTGAGTTGATGTTAAGGAACCCACAACTGCTTTTAGCCTACATCACCTGAACCTTTTGTTTTGAGTAATCAAAATCTTTGGTGTTGGGAGACTCTGTTTTGCTGATCTCAAGAGATGGATGCCTGTAATTGTTTCCTGCTTCTAGTGACCACATGATTTCTTTTTGAAACTAAGGATACATCTTTAAAACAAGGAATATGAACAAACTTTTATCAGCCTGTGCAAGCAAACACACTAATACTGATAAACAACCAAGTTGAATCTTTAGGATACATGTCTTCCTCATGTTTGAAATTTTCATACATAAAAGTGGATGCTTAAGCATTTATACTCTGAGATTGCTCAGGTTCTGGCTTTAGTAAGGGTTTTAACAGCTCAGTGAGATTTGAATTTCCTAAGCAGAAAACCTGCTACAAGGGAAACACCACCCAACAAGGAGAGGGTCTGGCCCAGTATGAAACATGTGTTACAGAACTGTCAGGGAAAGTTGTCACTTAATTAGTCACTCTGATTTTAGATTTACTTGAATACACTAGTGTGAATGTGTTTCTGTGCACATACATGTGGCTAAGCGATTGATGCTGATGTTGTAAGTATCTTCTTATGTATAGAAAATGAAGAAACATATTGATTAGCTTGTTTGTGGTGTGTGCACAACTGTTTCTTCTTCCTGCTTTCCTGTAATTGCTTTAAGGATTTAAATAATTCATACAAGGTATGTACACAATCACACTCATAGTATGTACATCCTAGTCACACATAACACAGAGAGGATGTGTGATGCATGTAAATCATTCTGGTGGTCAAAGAACTGACCTTACCTGTGCCTAATGGTGTGGTTAATTAGTCCTGGCATATTTAATAACATGCTGATCTATGGATTACTATATTAAACTCTTGTGATAATTATGTTATCTAGTTTCAGAAATGACACACACAAAGAAAGGCAAAACAAAAAGCAGCCCTTTCCAGCCTTCAGAAATGAAAAGACAAATTCCATTACTGAATATACATGCAGACTTTTGTTGGTTTTATTCATTTTCATGTGTGTGCCCACCCAGTGACAGAAATCAGCCTTACAATTGGATGCAGTGTGGTGTATTTTTCTACACATAATAACAGTAAACTGATCACTTGCTGACTATGAGCTTACAGAATGTACTGACGTAGCACAATTAGCTTTAATATTGTGTACTACATACTGTTCACACGTTAGTACCACAGAACTAAATATGTGTAGAGATTTAGGAATTGTGAGTATGTATTTCTCTTGAGGTTACAGGCCATGTGGAGCTTTCTCAACCTTAGCAAAAGTTATCTCCAGATGTCCCGAAAACAGAAATTAGTCTCTCCTTTCCTCAAAGAATTTGGAGGTCTCACTGATATTTGGGAGCCTGAATCTCATTTAAATCATGAAGAAAAACATTATAAAAATAATTTAATTAATAATGTGATCTGCAGTAAATGATAAGCAATATGAATCAGTTATTAAGATACTATGTGGAATGGAGAAGTCCTTTCTATTTATTCAAAATAGTTTACATACAGCCTTTACACATGTTCTTATTAACAGCAAACAGATGATTCAGAAAGAAATTGTTTAACTGTTAAAATTTTTATAAGACTGGACATTTGAACTTTTAAAGTAACAAGAGTGATGGAAGCAGTGGTATAAAAAGGCAAACTACAATTTTCACCATGGAAAGCAATTGATGATATTCCACATTTAAGAGATCAAGCATGAAGTTAAAATTTCTCTCCCATTTAACTCTTTCTAATATGCCTAAATCACTCTGCTATAACATTGAAATTACCATCACAGTAGCTTATCGGTAGTATATTTTTTTTTGAAGTGTAGAATATGTGATTCTAATTCCTACAATGTTGCAGCCAAGATTTTGAATTTGAATCCAGAAGGATACTCAAAGAATCCATACTTAGAAATACTCAGCTGGAACATTATTTTCTTGTAAGGCATTATATGAGGCCCCTTTTGATGCAAGTTTCCACGTTTTAGTAATTTTACATTTGGGAGCCCAGTTTTCATAGCAGGCTGGTAACCCTCTGGGCCAAGTTAACTGAATTACTTTCCTACACACAAAAGCCTATGATGCACAATTGCTATTAAGTTTAACCCCTTCAGTTTGACAAAGCTTCTTGTGGGAGCAATCTTGAGTATTAAGCCAGCAAGACTTGGAGTAGCTTCTCATCTGCCTTGGCTACCATGAACACAGAGATGATAATAACATCTCTACTGATTCTCTCTGGTGTTTTACCTCTTTGCAGAGCTCCAAAACAAAGTTTTCCAGCAAGAAAGCCAAAATTCTGCATTCGCTTATTTTATTTTGGGGTTACAGTCTTCTTAGAGCAAGCCATAATTGTACGATGGTGTGCCTGTCATAGATGCACTTGCTGGTATAATTGCCTCTTTTTGGCACATTGTTGCTTGACTTTAATTTCAAATTCAACAGTCTTTATTCTCATGGTTAGCATCTGAGATATCTGGGTCTTAGAAGATTTTGTAAATAACATCGTGTTGCACCATCTGGCCCCCATAGTAAAATCCCCAAGTTAAATCCTTTATAATTACCATCAGTTTGATTTACCTAACAGCCAAAGGCAATATTTCAGGATTTCTTGTTGTTTCTATCTACACATATATACAGATGCACTGGATTTACTCGGAGAGAGGTTAGTTGGTTGTGACAAGTGAGTAGCTTGGCTGGTGGATGTTCACAGTTAAATGCAGCAGTAATGTCCTCTGGCATATATCACTGCTTACTTGTGAGACAGAACTTTTTCCCCTCAATTTGTCTTCATTTATTTATGTCCTTAGTCAAAGCAAAACAAGCTTATTTGATTTCTGTAGCACAGAGAAAAATTTTTTTTCTTTCCAGAGATTAGAATAAAGTTCATGGAAATCTGTTTCAGTATTTACAAGAATATCTCCCCACCTCCCCGCTTTGGTAAAAATGTTTCAACTGGTGTAGATATCCTTGAGCCCATGCGTCTGCACAGATGACATTTGTAATTACCTAGCCAGTCGCAGAATTTCTTTAAGAATGATATTGTTACAAGGATGGACAGGAGATTCAGCATCTGGCCTGCTGTTTGCCAGGTGGCAGTAGCTGACTCATGTTTGGAGAGAATCAACCAAAAGGATCACACAGGACATCAAGGAACATTGTTAATGGAAAGTAGCTCTCACAGATACCAATGTAAAAGTAGTAAGCATTGAAGCAGACATGAACAAGACTTTGCCTTCACCATGCAGAAGGAACAGAGGTTGGGACAAACTGGTCAGCTCACCTAGCAAGATATTGCTGGTTTCACTGTATTACCACAAAGGGAAATTCACAGGCCTTATTTCTGAAACACCACTTAGGACAAAGCAGGAGAGAGTAAACACTTTCATCTCCATGGCAGCATTGTGGATAATTAGTAAATTGGGCAGGTGGAGGGCTACACAAGGCTACAAGTGCCCAATTTGCACTAAAAGCACGTTTATATATGCAAACCTTATCCTAGTGTACTGTTTTTTCTTTATAGTGATTATAAAAATGTAGAGGAAGGATGTGGTGAATTCTGTGGTAGTATGAAAGGGCAATTTGGCTTTGTTTTTTTGACACGCACACACTATATATATATGAGGAAAGAAGACGATAGTTTCCCATGTTTGGGCAGCAACACAGTAATAGATTGGATACAGCAAAGGCTGCAGATTCACATTAACAGCACACTCATATATAACCTCTGCCACATTATATACTAGTGCTGTATGGTATATGTACAGGTACTCCAAGAATAATAGGCATTCCCAGAAATGAGAGAAATTTCATTAAGACAGGCTAGGAACAGTAAAATCTCAATACTATGGGATGTAACAAATGAAATTTTCCTCTTCTAATTTCCTTTTTAAGTTGGCAGACTCTGATTAAGAATTTGATTCCAAAATCCAACCTGGAGGGTACATGCTATACTTGCATATTCAGTTCAATTCATTTCAATTTTGCTGTTTAAAAAAGCTTGGAGACTATGGTGTCTGAAACAGGGAATATCAGATAATTACCATGATCAAAAATCAGTAACATCAGATTACATTCAACTTTGCTTAACTTGTCAAGGTGGGAAACATACCAAGATGTTTTATAGCATATTCCATTTAGGATGCAAACGAAAAGTTTCTGGCTAAACATGAATTAAGGAAACGCTCCCAGACTGCCGCTGTTTACTGTCATTGATCCCCACACAGAGGTTAATCCAGCTTTTACTGTACATAAAATAGTTGCAGTGGCATAAAATACCAATAGTGCATAATGACATCATTAGACGGCAAGCTTTAAGACAACATGACTTCTCAGACATGATGGCTGAAGCTAGCCATTTTTACGATAATAAAAGCAGGTCAATCAATCTTAAAATAACAGATTCTAGTATTCACCTGATATCTCGCCTCTCAAACTCAATCTTATCTGACAGCCACATTTTGGCTTTAGCTGTCACTTGTTTCAGAAGTATTGTCTAATTCTGATCACATACAATATTTTCTCCATGTATTTCACAAACTCAAATAGAACCAAATTACATCCAAAAGAAATTAAGGACAGCAAGAAGCCATCTTCAACATAAACCATGCAAGGTCAAGTAAGGAATTTTAACTGAGGAGGGAAGGCTGCCTTACAACTTCTTTTGAGGGATCCTGAGATACTAGAAATGCTGAACGGAAAGTCTAACGCTGTGTCACAATTTGAAGTGAAGGAAGATTTTCAAATAAAGTTTTATTGTAAAAGTAACTTAGGATGGATTTTGTAATGTGGAAACATGGCTTCCTTGAATAGACTCATGACTTTATCCCCTGATGCTACATTTCTCTGTTTCTAAAAGCTGTTAGTTCTGTAAGACTCAAGAAGTAACAAAATGAGAAAGCTTCTGTACTATATTGTGGTAATTTCTAAACTGTTGTAGGGGTAAAGAATTTCATTTTAGCACCAGTGAAAATGAGTTAAAATTGCGTCAAATATCTTCTTCAAGTTTTCATGTGAGATGCACATGAAAGCATGGCTCCAATCCCAGTCTGATCAGTTTTGATCTATTTCACATGAAACAGGAGGCTATAACGCCCTTAGGCCCCCGGTCCATTTCAGTATTCATAAATCATGTGGTGACTCTAAACTCATGAAAATAAATATTACTACTGGATACTGAATTCTTGCTTCTCTTTTCGTTTGATGCAGGAACACCCAATTCTTGCCAACCACAGCAGAGGATTACCTGGGGCATACCCAGCCAGCAGTGGGCAGTACTGACAGCTGCCACTGTGTAAGCAGGTACACGTTGTGTCCACACTGCTTGTGTGCCAATGTGAAAGGGAGACAACCAGTGAGCATGCAGGGCTAGGAGTAAAATTATGTCCCGGCCAACACATCGGATATAGGGTGACATGAGCACACCTCTGAATGGATACAAAAGGTCAACAGAGACAGAATTTTGAGGTTTTTATCTCCAATTATTTTAGCAGTTTGATAATTAGATGGTGATTTCTACTTTAGATAATTCTATTCTTAAGAGAGGTCAATAAGAAATTGACAACTGGGCCTTCTTTTTTTTTAAAAAAAATAATTCATTATTAAGTTCCAAGCATAACAACTGAAATTATAGCTCCTTTACTCCAAAAAGGATACAGTCATGTCAAAAGAAATCAAAGGTTTCTTTAAAACATCTAGTTATTTATTTATTATCATTGGCCCTTGCTAATTCAGGTGGCATTTGCATTAGCTCGTAGCATTCAAGTTTATGTATAATTAGCTCACCCCTTCATCCACTCAGAATCTGCTAAATAGAATGAAAAAAGCCAAATGGGTATTGTGAATTCATTGTACAAGTGGTACTGGTGAGTCTCTGGACAGAGAGCCCCTTCTAGGTCATGAGGGGAATGAGTTCAGAGAAGTCAACAGCCCCCACAATACTCAACAGCCTTTCTAAATGCAAGGTGGAGATCAATGCTCACCCTATGATTAATCCAGGAAAGGAAGCCTCTCAGGCCTGTGTCCATTCCCCTTTTACACTCGACCCCAATTCTCAAACCACTGCTGGTCACACCTAGGACAAGGCAGACCAGTGCCTCTAGGACTCTCATATGTCTCAGGGACACCCCCTTTTCTTAGCAACACGTGAGGGCCAAGATTTAGCACGTGCCTATGTTTTGAAGCAGCATAACCCACCTGAGGCTCAAACCATCTTTTCATAAAAGATTCTCCTTTAGTTGAGGTTGAAGGATGAGATGCAATTGTGTTTCTCTTAAAATCAATCTGGAGAAGCTACCCCTTTAAGTCCAAATGATAAGCTCAATGAAATGAGCTGATATTAGTGTGCATATAAAACCTCTAAGGGAATTTTTGTTATATTTATTGTCGACTACTTTGGCCATTAGAAGCTATTGAACCAAACTGAAAGAACAACACAAATTGCACCTTGTTTATTGGACTCTAGATTAAACATATTGTTTGTTTCCCATGAGGCTTTCCTGTTACTAACTAACACACATCAGTGTTGGGTACTCTATTATTGATAATTTTGAACCAGGACCTTAGTATTATCATTGTACAACATAAAATTTGGCCTTCTGTCTAATTCAACGACTCTTTTTCAGGTGTTCAGTCCCATGTACTTACTTTCTCTGGGGCATCAGATTGAGAAAATTTGAATTTGGTTGGAATCACAGACACACTGCTTTTAGCACAGGACACTGTGTATCCATAGACCCATGTCTGGTGGAGGCAGTATTCATATTCTAAGTCCTAGCTAATTTTCCTAATACAATTTTCTGGATTTGTGAGCAACTATAACAAGATTTAGAAAAAGGATTATCTTTAGATGTTTACAAGTACTAATTCATATTTAGCATTTTTAGTTAAATGCTTTATTTATTGTTATATGGGCTAGGAATTAGTCAAATTTGTTACTTCTTTTACATTATGGTTCTTATTACCTACTTAAATCTTGTGTGGTATAAGCATTCTTATTATAATAGGGCTAGAAATATAGCAGTATATTTGACAGTAATTTTTTCTACATTTGAATACAAGGGAGGGATTTTAATAGAAATAACATTGCATGATCAGTTTAGGCAGTCATACAAAATGGCATATGCATGATAATGCTATTTCTATAAACAACATCACGTTTTACATAAAACCACATTTCCACTTAAGCTTGCAAATTTTTTCATGAAATTTGCTTCTCCTCTCTCGTCCTTTCCAATTGAAATGACACTTGATTATAATAGCGCTCCAGTCAGAGAACCCACTGTTTTTTCTTTTTAAATTTGCAAATCCTGTAGTTTACTTTTTTTTTTTCTTTCTTTCTGGTTTTTCCAAAAGCAAAAACACAAAAAACCCGGAACACCCTACAAAGTCAGCACTGACACTGACAGCCACACCAGGAGAAGGGAGGCCAGATGTCTACACGAACTCCACAGGGGCCCCCTTTCAATCTAGCACAGAAGAAGGGGCAGGACGAACGCAGCAGTTGGGACGTCGAAAGTTCTGCAGCATAGACTGGAAAACACTGTGCTGCCTCCCTTTGAGCTTCTTATTTGAAGACGTATCTGAGGAAATGGATCTCCGGGACTGACCACTTTGAGTTTTGATTAATTTCTCGTGTTCCCTGATTTGTCTTTGCAAATGGTTCTGGATGGCGATTCCCAAGGACTCGGGGTCCAGGGAAGCACCGTACACCTCCCACGTCATTCCCTGCTCGTCCCACATGACGTCCCGGACACGCTTGGATTGTTTCAGGTGGGGCTTAGAGTCCGCGCCAAGCTGCTTCTTCTTCTCGCCTGGGGTGAATCCCACCTGCGCGGCGGCTGCCGTCACGTTGAGCTTCTGCTCCTTTAGGAACTCACTGACCCTGCTGCCCCGGCGTGGGCTGGCCTTGACGGAGCGAGAAGGGGTCCTCTTGCCAGAGCCGGGGCTGGAGTCTCCGATGGCATCGCACGGCAGGCACAGGCTGGTGGCCGTCTTGGTCTGTCGGTTTTCTTCTAAGGTGATCTCCTGGTTCTTTCTAACTGGGGATGGTGTGGGAGTAGCAGGTGGACATGTGCCTCCACTTTCTTGGGTTTTAGGATTGAGTAATAGAGTTTGAGTTTTGGCATCAAGGGTATCAGTATCTTGTTCTCTTACCACCTGGGGAGATGCAGTCTTCTTTGTACTTCTTTGATCATTGGGATCCGGGCTGCTGGACTGGTCAGCTTTGTTGACAGGGTCACAAGATGGAGTGAGTGTGCAGTCTGAGCTTGCTTTGTGGCCATCTTCGAGTTTCCCTGCGTGCTCTGGCAGCTTGCTGGCAGAATCCCAGCATCCAGGACTTGCTTCTGCTTGGTTGACTGCGTGGAGAGAACTCTGGTTGAAGCCAGAATTGATACCTGAAAGGTTTGAGGTTGGCTGTTCCCTCTCTGTACTTTTTCCTGCTGACTCCTTGTCTTCTTTACACACACCCTGGGCATGACTAGAGGCCATGTTGATCGAAGAGATTTTAAGGACCTCACCAGGTGAGCTGGCTGGTTTATGTTCTACTTGGAATGCTGAAGAAACAACTGCAGCTGTCTGGATGTGCACCTGCGGCATGATGCCAGGGTATTGACCCGCCTGCTGGGAGCCTAATAAAGGGTCGGAGAGCTCCAACCGGGGGCTCCCATTGCCATGGCCATGACAAATGACACGCAGCTGCTCTTGTTGTTCCAAACACTCTGCAGCAGGGATTTCTCTTAAGAATGCCGTTAGGATGCTGGGGCTGGTGGAGACTGATCTGCTCTCTACATTTGCTACTGCCTGCACCTCGGCATCTTGCCGAGTTCTGCCAGGGACTTCCGTGAGCTCACTTTCAGCATGGCTGGTCATCGTACTGGCTTCTTTGTACCTCGATGTTTGTGGCTGTGTGGGCAGTAGCACCGTCTCTGAAGCTGCAGAGCATGTGGAGCCGTTGCTTGGGAGATGGGATGGTGTAGACATTACAGAAGGTACACCTGGCATGTCTGAGGCAGTGCAAGATGGCTGTCTCTCCTTGGCACCTTCATCCTCTCTTGGGGGATGTTTGCAGGACCTTGTCGTAGAGTCACAGCTGGCTTCAGGTCCACCTGCAGGAGGAGGTGAAATACTGGACTCCCTAACTGCTGTCTCTGGCACTTGCACCCTTTCCTGGATTGCTCCTTGGGAGGAAAAATCACAGGACCCTTGATCATGGCTGCTCTCACAGGTGTGCCCTACGGGACAACTTGACTTCTCAGGTTGCTCTCCCTGTGAGGTTCTCTGGGATCTTACCAGAGGGTTTTCACCTCCAGGGGAAGGGCTGGCACTGGGATGATCACCAGGGGTTGGGGCATGGTTAGGCTGATTGACTAAGATCACACATGGTATGTGTATAGGGTCCTCACATCTGTTTGCAGAACTCAGTGCTGGTGCTGCCAGCTCATTATTGCCTGGTAGCTGGGATTGGTCAGAGGAGTTTGGTGTGGGAGGTACTCTCTCCACTTCCTTGGGAATGCCGGGAGAAGACATAGCTGGTTGGGTGGTCTCATGCTCACAGGTCTGCATCAGGGCTTTGGCAGCTGGACTGGGGTTAAGGTTTGCTTCTGTGGGGGCACCAGAGAGGCCATTGGCATTCTTGCACAGCAAAGGTGGTTGCAGCCGAGCGGAGGCAGTCTGCAGCTCTCCTGGAGGGTCCTCTTTTCCAGCAGGTGCAAGCAGGGAAGGTTTGGCTGGTCCCAGAGGGTCAGGTACAGTCCCCATGGACTTCCTCTCAAAGAATACTCTGGAACTCTTCTTGCAGTACTGTTCCCACTGGGAAACCCTTGGAGCTCAGATTGAAGACACTCAGAAAAGATTACTGGGAAGAACCAGCCTGTGAATAAAAAAAAAAGTCCCATTAATGTAGTCGTTCCTTTAAGGACTGAAATCACATCAAACTATCATTTTTATAAGATCACCTAAGCACATGAAATCTTTTGTCTATACCATACAATTGGAGCTTGTGAAGAAATAGTTTAATTACACAAATGTTATTTTGGCGTATTTTTGTTTGCTTGTATCCCACTACTTTCTAGCAGAATTAAAAAAAATATTTTATCTATTTATCTATCTAAACAGATTGACAAGGGAGAGAAAGAAAGGAGGCGAAGAATAAAGTGAGAGAGATCTATTTGTTCTTGTTGTTGCTGTTGGTTTGCCTCACAAATGTCTACGATAGCCAGAGCTGGGTCAAGCTCAAGCCAGGAGCCAAGAACTTCATCCTGGTCTCCCACATCAGTGTAGGACACCAAGTATTTGGTTGCGCCACCTTCTGTTGCCTTCCAGGCACATTAGTAGGAAGCTGGATTGGAAGTAGAGGAACATGGTTCAAAATGGCACTCTGATATGGGATGTGGGTTCTGCGATTGGAAGCTTAGCCTACTGTGACACTGCGAGTATCCAGCAGGTAGATTTTATTAATGCAGCTAGCTAAGTTTGAGAACTAACTCAGGATCATTTGTGTCAGGTGATTTATGATAGAGCAGAAAAATCATGTAAAGCTATGTAATTAAATCAAAAGTTACCAAGATAATATTCAAAATATGATCTAGAAATAGAGTCAGATATAAATGAGGATTTAATGTATGACAAAACAGCCATTTCAGTAAAATGGTAAATGGATAGCTTGTTGAACATAAGGGCTGGTAAACTGTTTATTCATCCAGAAGAAAAGAGAAGCAGATCTTTTTTTTTAATACCAATTCAGAAAATAAATCCTAAATGCATTTGAGTAGATTAAAAGTTAAAATGCAAAATACCTAATTAAATAAAAATTCTGTAAGATCATAAATGTGATCTTGGGGAAGGGGTATAGATTTTTTTTTTTACCATGAAAACAACACAGAAATCAAAGAGAAATCATAAACATAGGTAACTAAATAAAATGGAATACTTTTACATGACAACACATATCAGAAAAGATGCGAAAATACACTTTTAATCTTTGAGGATAGACAAACATGCAAGAAGACAAAATAATCCTTTGGAAAAGAATGAATATGAAGGGTAGCTTACAAGAGGAAATAGTAATAGACAATAAACTTATAAAAAGTTCAACAACTTCATTGGTAGTTAAATACAAATAAAGGAGCAATGAGGTTTTACTTTAAACACTTGCACTTAAGATTAATTTAAAAAAGCGTAATGTTAGAGTCTGGAGATATCTAGTGAAAGAAAATATGTTTACTAATTGTATGAACAAAGATTTCTTATCATAGCCTTATTAGGAAAGCAATTTAGTTCTTAAAACTAAAAACACATGCCCTTGACCCAATGATACCAAACTCCATCAACAAATAAATGCCATTAAACATAAGCAGAGTTATACCATAGTTATTTAAGTACTATTTTTAAAGGCAAAAGCTGCAAACCTACTGATGCCATGAGCAGGAAGAATGTCAGGATAGATTACCAGGTATCCCCACTCCTGAGTATTAGAAAACCATTACAAAAAGTATGTAATTTGGTAATAGGTTTTCACTTAGGAGGGATTTCCACAATGTATGGTTGACTAGGAAATATGGCATTTGGGTAAGAAGATATTCCACGTGCATTCACACTTTCATGAGGGTGCTTCATGCAATTCATGGAAAATAGACTTTACATCTAAGTATACTCTGAGGCAAAAAAACCTGAAAATCTATATTTTCTTCATAATCCCATATTTTCTATGAACTTTTTAAAGAGCCTAATATGCTTGGATTTTAACATCTTTTGCACCAGAATTGACCTGTCCTTTAATTTCACTTCCACAGACTTTTTTGAAAGTACATAAATGATTATATACATAGTAAAAGTATTTAGAATGAGGTGTTGAATGGAGGGAATTAGTGAGTTGGAGAAGTTGCAAGGGGAACATGGGGGTACCCCAAAGTAAGAAAATGCTGATTAAAAAAAAGCACATGTATTTGGTAATATTTGGGATATGTGTACCTATGCATACATATAATTATTTGTGTTTGTATAAAATAGTGACTAGACAATAAGTCAAACAGTTATAGCAACTGACCAGAAAATAGTGAATGACTATGTTATAATATTATCATACACTATGTGATCTCAGCCTTAATCACCCAGTCTTTCTGAAATCCAAATAACTCAAGGTAAAATGAATTAAATGATTTCTAAGAACCTGTCCAGCTTTATAACTCAAGGTTCTATTTCTTTAGGTGCAACAACGCAACCTTACTTCAAACTCTCATGTGTCAAAAAATAAATGCAAGGTCACATTGGTTGGGCTTAGGTTTTGAAAAACACAACATTTTATCCTTTAATTTAATGTCATTAGACTAATCTGTCATCCTATGAAATTTAACAAGAAATAAAGCTGATTTTCTCCCCCAAACCAGCCATTCCTTCAGTAGTCACATTTATGTCCTAATATTTTTCCATTCTTAGGCTTGAGTGCTTTCGGCTCATTCGAACAATTTCTCCAGGTTTCTTTCCCATTTCCTTGGGCTTTCTGTTACCATCACTCACCCTGCCCTAAGCTTATTCTGCTCTTCCCTTCCCCTCACCTGTGTTTATTATGCCTTTCATCCCACTGGTTTTCCTTCTCCTCAAAAAGTGTACCAAGTCTTCAAGGCCCCTCTTCAATCCCATTTCCTTTCTAGAAAGCTTTAAAACCTTCCAATCAGAAAGGCTTTCTCTTTTGTTCAACTCTCATTGGTCATCTGTGCCATTTATATTGTGGTTTTTATGCTGCACTATTTTGGTACCTTTAAACTCCAGCAAAGAAAGGAAGCAACTTACTGATTCTTTTTTGTCTATTGCACAGGACATGGTGCAGGGTTTTGCTCATAAAGAGTTGTTAATTATTGTCTCCCTCAAAATTGGCGTTATAAAAGCCCTTGTCAAGCACGAAATCAATAGGCAACATTAATCCACAATCAAAAATATTGTTGGAAGTAAGAAAGTGGCAGTATCTCATTTATGAAACTGTGTATCTGTAGTGAGGTTTAGGCAATTAAAACTAGAAACACCATATACCTGACAGACCGGACAGCCTCACAAAGGCTGAGCACAGAGTGTATACCAGGTTAGGAACAGACTACTGCAGCCAAGAAACCTGGTTTGCCAGGCAGACCTGTAAAATGGGAGCCTCTCAAAATTCATCAGCTGACAGATGAAAGATTTACATAAAGACATGTTTGTAAAACTCCCATAAGTCATTGCATTCACTCCATTTCCTCCCCACAGCTGATTGTGTGAATTTGAACTTTGAAAGGCTGTTTTCTTTTGTCCACTTGGTTAATAGAGGTGAACATATTAAATGAATTATCAACTCAGGATTGAAGAGAAAAAAAAGCCCAGTTTTCTTGGCTAACACCCATTCATTTGGACATCCATTGATTTACTGAAAATCCACACCATTGTCATTAGAACCTCATCGGCTACTCCCTTCTCCTGTGAGATGGTGGGAATCTTGTAGCAGGTGCATAGGACATTTTAAAAATATAATTCTTTGGTGGTTTTGAGTGAGAAGTATATGTCTTTATCATCAACTACCATCCATCAAAACATGAAGTCATAACTTCTAAAAATGAGATGGCAAACAGGAATCTCCCTGACCGAATGAAATCCCATCTACAAACGCATTTGTGTGTGTTGAGCTTATGTGTCGTGTAGGTTCCCATCTATTCTCTGCTCCCTTCTCTTTCTTTTATCCATATTTATCCAAATCCAGATTTATTCCTCTGGCTTCTTTTTAAAAAGTTCTCACTTGCAGATGAGGACAGCCAGGTGTTGCTGAGAAGGTTGCCCCTCCCTCCCCAGGGCTGAGTCTTTCCAAGTGGCCCATACTCCTGTGCCTGTGTCTCTCATTAGCATTACTCCTTGGATCCCATGTGCAGCCAAACTTGAGGGTCTTTCTCTAAGTGTTGTGACAAGGCGGATTTCCTATCCCAACTTAGTCCTTTCAGGGTAGTTAGACTCTGTGTTCAAGAACAGGAACTTTAGGGTCAAACACCCTTGACTAGAGGATCACGTCTACCATCCAGTTGGATGTGTGCTTGCCAAAGCACTGTAAACTCTCAGGGCTCTAGATTCACCTGCAGGTGGACGATATTGCCCTGCTTCCTTGCAGTGTCAATGAGGGAGAGATTCAGCATTCAGGCCACATAGCAGTTTGGTGCACAGTAAATGTTAGGCTCCTTTAAAAAAATCTCAATATTTAAGCTATGATCCATGTTAAATAAAAATTATTCTGACACTTGTTAAAACCATGAGAAGGTCTTCATTCAGGACTAATACGATAGCTGTCAAGGCTATTGCACTGAGAAAGAGAGATTGGGCTCAATTCTAAATACAATGAGAATAAGCAGTCATTTGTAGCCAGGATGTGGGTTGGACATTGAGAGTACAGCATTCTTGTAAAATCTAACAGGATTTTCAGAGAAGGCATGCCAGAGTGATCAGACAGCAAGGATGGGAGATTCTGTCAAAACTAGCTTGGCAGAATTCTTGCTAACAGCAGATTCTGCAAGACAGAGAGGGAGCTCAAGGTCAAGGCTGCTTTGAGTGAAGGGCTCAGAGTTGTCCAATTAAAGTCTGGTCAAGCAGAGAACCTTTGTCAACTGCCCCAGCCAGCAAGCATTTTCTTAGTACTACAAATTCTTCCCGAATTAAGCATTAAATCCTACAGAAGCTACACTATTTTGCAGTGGGTCTGTATTTAACTGTAATGGGAACTGTAGCCTTGAGAGCAGATTCCTTTGGCACTTCTATTCTTCAGACTGTGAGTGCAGATTTAAAGCCTTCTTCTGGCCATGCAGCAAGATTGCAGCATCCATTGTTTACAGGGATGGGAACCCAGAGGTAAGGAATTCACTGAAG